AGAAGCGATAGTTATTTTTTTTTATGGAAGGAAAGTTAGCTGAGTAACCCTTACCCTCATGGGTCTGTTTTTTAAATATTAGAATAGCTACTTTGGCAGTAATACTTTCAGATTTTTCTGATGGTATTAAAACACTGGGAATGGCTAATCCATTGGAAGGTGTTTATTTTATTCACAAGGATTTGAAGTGTCTTAATTAGTGGGCAAGAATGTGAAAAATGAGGTCATGTAAAAATTTGGTCTGGTCTCACATAGAACAATGTCTCCAGATTTTGTCTTCATACTTATGGTTTCTGATTTTTGTATTATTAAGGGAAGTATATGGAAATATTGATGAGTTAAAAGTGTGCTATTAGAATTGTACCTGGCTCAAAATGATATAGTTACATGTGTGAAGAGAGGTTGAAGACTAGTGTTTGCATTCTGTGAAATGAAGAATAGTTAGAGATGAATTGATTTATATGTTTAGTCAATTTTGGAAGGTTTGTTTGAGCAATGGAATGGTAATGTTTGGAATGCAAACTACAATACTAAGATTAATAAGTACAATCTTTGGAAGCTCTTATACAGACTAGTTATTTGCCAGAATTATTTTTATTAGAAACTTTTACTAACTTTTGGGATGATTGACCTGGCATTGTGGCTTGTTTTGTTAAATTGACTCGAATTGTATATGGCTTGTGATATATAGTTCTGAAAGGCTACATTTACTTTGTCTTGGTTGTTTTGATTGAGTGAGGGTTGTCTTCAATGGGCAGCTTTGAAACAAACTGCTTTCTTTTATTTGGCTTATTCTAGCATACATAATGCAGTACCTACAAAATATATTGGTAACAGTAGTGAGAAATTATCATTACATTGACAAAATTGGCTAAGAATTTAGTGCTTTAAGAAACCTCAAATAGCATTACATAAAAGACTATGCATTTGTGAATTTGAAACTAACATCAACTAATCTGGTATAACTACATACTGTCCCTGTGAAAATTTAATAATGAACAGAATAGAGAGTTATGTACTTGAGATTAGTGCTGGTAGCTTAATTGGTAAGAGCACCAATGTCAAAATACTGATGTGAGCCATTAGTCTCAGGTTTATACTTAATAGTGATTTATTATAACTTGCATACAATAGCTAACTTCAGTTTCAAAACAATAAAACTGTATTTAGTCAGTAAAAGATACAGCCCAATAGCTTCATCATTGCTTGAAATGAAATTTTAAACAGGATGCCCCTTTTTTTGGGGTGCACAAAAGCCACAATGAGTAAAATAACAGTTATGTTTGTATTAGTATTTGTGCACTTAAAGAAGGAGTACGTGTCCAAAACATTGGAACAATAAATATCTGTTTTGATAGTAGCTAATAAGCTGTATCATTTACTGAATGCCTCTTTTTATTGCCACTTTCTTCTTCATTATCTCTTGATACTTGCACAGATTGTATTTGTAACTGGTGTTTCTAACATAGAAGTTTTCTCTACTTATCTACTTAACTGTTTTTAAAAAAGGCATAACCTGTAGTAAAATTTTCTTCCTAAAATATTTAATTAATTTTAATATGTGAAAAAAAAATCTGCTTTAAGAGATTCATACATGTATAATTCTTTCTGTGATAGTTAGTTACTTGACTTATAGGGCATGTTTTATTGTCTTCTGTGTTCATGTTCATTAATCCAGTGGTACTTTTGTGATTAAAAACTGATTGAGTCTTTGTGTTCATGATCTCTTATCTCTACTTGAAACCTAACACTAAAAACTGTAATTGTAAAAGGTTGAACTTACTGACATCAACTGGCAAAGAATACTTCTAATTCTGTAGCCATAAAAGTTTAAAATTATATTTGTCATAGTACACATTGTTTTACATTAATTTTGTAAATATATCTGTATTAAAAAAACAACCAAAATTTGTACAAGTTGGAATCATAGTATGATACCTTATATTTATAAAACAAATTACATTAACTGATCCCTTTTTTCATTTGCTCTTTTTTTTTTAATCCACTATTATACATAATATCTTAAACTAGAAGTAGAAATTAAGAGCCAGGTACTAATGATGATTCATTCATACAGAACTGTTTTCTATGTTGGAGTGTTGCCAGCTTTCTCAACTTAAAAAAATAATGAAAATTTATTCATAAATTTTTTCAGACATTTGTAGTATAATTTATTTTTACAATATACATTTCCTTATCTCAGTTTTGAGCGGAAGACCTCTCGCACACCAGGCGACTGCTTTTTTTTTCTTTCACTTTTTATTAACTACAACTGACACGAAGGGCCTGTCCCTTAGCAGCATGTTAGTATGGCACTTTTTAACAACTCAAACTACTACACAGGGTCCGTACCAAGGGTACTACGAACGGTGCGCTCGCACGGATCGCCGACTCGTAGGGTACGCAAATTAGGGTAGATTAGACTTTTCGAGGAGGGGACGCAGAATTTATATTTCGCACAGGGCGCCATCAGCGATCGGTACGACCCTGCTACTGCAATAGTACATTCAGTTGATGCCCACTAACAAGCTTTGGTGAGTTAGTAAAATCTGTTTGCTCTTTTAAGTTTTTATCTTTCGAAAGCAATGTAAGGAAAATGGTATGATAAATTATAACATAGTAGTTCATATGCTGTTTTCATAATTTGATGTGA